GCAGAAATCAAAGCTCCGGCTGCAGGGCCTGAAGGGAGGTGGCCAGCCTGGGGGCCCTCATTTTCTCCCAGCCACATCATGCTCTGAACACCCCATCCCACCGCAGGGAGCTGCCCGAATCTGCCACCAGCCCGGGGTGATGCGGGGCCTGCAGAGCCCCAAACCCTCCTTCTGCGGGAAGGGATTTGCCCGGCTGTAGCCAGCTCGGGACGCAGACGTCCCTTCCCACCTCCCCTTGCCTCCAGCCTGGAACACCGCAGCATCAGGGGACGTGGCGGAGGACACGGAGAGCACAGCAGGCTCTCCCAGACAAAGACACGTGGCCCACAGCCACCAAGGGGGATGAGCTGCCTGTCCCCAGAGGGTCTTCCCGGCACGCCCGTCCTCAGCACCCACCTGATGGGAGCGCCCCGGCCCTGCGCCGGCCGCAGCAGCACCGTGATGGTGCTCTCCGACTCGCCCAGCGGCGCCGGCATGTCCGCGTAGTCGAAGGCGGGAGCTGCGGAGGGAGCAGCGCAGCGGGCAGCAGCCAGCCCCGGCAAGGGCTCAGCGCCCGCCCGTGCCTCTCGCTGCTTCTGCAGATGACGGGGACACGACCAAGCCCCAATCCTCCTCCCTGGAGCCCCCCTGCAGTCACCTCCCAAGCCTGGGCTATGCAGCACGTTTGGCCCCCCAGCCACTCTCCCTCCAGCCGGGGAACCTCCAAAAGAGGGAAGCCTTTGGGAGCAGGAGCTGCCCCAGGAAACACATCCCTCCTCCTGGCACCAGCCCCAGCCCTGATTAATCAGCAGCCGCCGGGGCCGGCTCGTGCTGCTCGGCAATTTCTGTGGCCCCGTTAGGAAACATCTCAGCCCATTTGGTGCCGTTAACAGCTACACAGCGGACATTAGCAAACAGCCCTAAGTGCTGCATGGCTTGTTAATGAAGGCCAATTAATCCCTCGTTTGCACATTTAAGTCTCGGGCTGCTGCACTGCTGTAACGCTCACAGCAAGACGTGCGCCCGTGCGCCGGGGCCATCCCGGAGCCAGGGGCTGGTCCCGCGGCTCCCGCTGCCTCGCCAGGGGGTGCCAACCCCTCCGGCCCAGCCGTGCTCAGACCCGGAGCTCTGCAGGGCTCAGGGAGAGCCCAGAGCACCTTGCCCCGTCCGTGACGGAGGGGACCATTTCTGCGCCTCCCACCTCAGGCTCCATTTCTCACTCCTGCACATGAGCCTGTTTCCACAAGGCCGTTTCAAGGAGGCCGCGGGGCCAGCAGCCTCCGGTCTGGCCTCGGAGGCAGGGCATGTGTTTGGCAGAGGTGTCCATGGGCATCCCGGAAGGTGGCGCAGGCCCCGTGGGTCTGCTCCGAAGGGGCTGGTGCTGCCACACAGCACCCAGGGCAAGCACGAGTCTCCTGCACTGTCAGAGCTCCAGTGTTAGACTCCCACTCCCAAGGACTCGTTAAGGTTAACAAGGGTCTGATCCCAATGCCCAAGGTGAGTGGAGGAAAGCCCAGCTCCAGCCCCAGCCACGCGTTGGAGAACACCTGCAGCGAGGCCCCTGCAGCCCCCAAACCTGCAGGGCTGACACCAGGGCCGCTCCTCCGAGCGGCAGGGAACGAGGCAGCAACGGCCTCCTTCCCTGCTTCCCTTCCCCTGCCAGGACCTGCACCTACCGGAGATGTTGGTGGTGATCTCGGTGAGCGCCGTCTGGCCAAAGCCCTTGCCCGTGCGGGCCCGCACCGAGAAGAGGTAGGTGGTGCCGGGGTGCAGGTTGGAGAAGACGTGGTAGGTCTCGTTGCGCAGCTTGGACACGGTGCGCCGCGGGCCGGGCACGTTGACGGCCGGGTCGGAGGACTCGATGCTCTGGTAGCTGATCTGGAAGGAGAGGGGACAGCATCACACGGCCGCAGGAGCAGAATGGAAAAGGAATTAACGCAACGGGCAGGGAAGGGGATTAACTTGGAGGTATGTGCCCGTCTTGGGCCCTTTAGGCTAAATCAAAAGCAGAGGCTCCTCCGAAAAGCCACTGCTGGGTACCGAGAGCGACCCGGGGAGAAGGGCTGGCGAGGAGGGACGGCCCCTGCGGAGCGGGGCCGCG